ATTCTGGCTCAGCTACGCACTAGCTGTATGACATCACCTCATCCAGCCTCTTTTTTCTGCCCTGTAATGTGAAGATAATAGTGTGAATTAACTGAGATAATGTGTGGGTATGTCAAGGGCTTATCCCTGGGCCTTGCCTATAGTAAGTGTTCATTCACTGATAATTGCAGTTATTATTACAAATAAGCACTATGCATCATTAACATTATTGCTTATAAGATTTGTTATCTGAGTATCATAGTGAACTCCTATGCATCCTTCAATGTCCTGCTCTGCTATCACTGTCTCAATGAAACCTTCCTTAACAATCCTGGCAGGATTTAATATTCCTTGCTGGTTCCCTCTGCAATTTTTTTTTTTTTTTTTTTGTGAACATTTCATTGTGGTTTGGATGAAAGTTTACAGAGTACATTAGTTTCCCATTCAACAATTTATACACATTTTGTTTCGTGGCATTAGTTATTGCCCCTCCTTTTTAGCCCTTTAAGCCAGGCAATTTATAGACAGGTGGCCCCTCTCTCTGGACAGACAAATGGAGCAACCCCTACTCTGGCTTCTGTCTGCCCACTCCTCACCAACAGGCCCAGAGGATCAGGTCTTCCTCCTTCCCCTAACATGTGTAAGTCCTGATTTGACTTAAATTTCTTTCCAGCCCATTTCTTGATCTGCTGTCACACAGGTGTTGGGAGGTAGGCCCAGTAGGAATCATTCTACTTTTTTATAGATACGAGGAAATCATTTCTACCTTGACTAATCTGAACAATGGGCAGTGTTGACCGAGGCTGGCCCACTCTGGGCAGGGTGTGGTGTTCAGCACCTTACATACCTTGCCTCATTCTGTACTCAGAGCAACCCAGGAAGTTGCTATTTTTATATTCATTCTACAGATGAGGAGTTGGCCTGTATTGACTCGGGAGAGTTGACTGTGAAATTTTCAGGAATTGTGTGAGCTGGTTGTTAAACATACTCATTAAAAACCAAATTATATAAAATTACAAGTGAATAAATTATATTAAAAACAAAGGTCATAAATACTCTGAAGTCATCACTTCCTAATTATTTTGCTACATTTTACAATGGTCTATGTTCTCTTTTTCTTTCCCACTTATCTATACGCTTAAGATGTTTGTCATAATGCACTGCTGCACATCTCTTCCCAACTCTGTGATCAGTGACATCTAGCTCACAGCTTGAAATTGGCCTTGGTGGGAGTACTTTTTTATTTTTAATTTTTCATTGTTATATGGGTGAAAGTTTACAGAGCAAACTGGTTTTCCTTCAACAGTCCATACATACTATGTTGTTTATTTGTTTGTTTTTAAACTTTTAATGGGATGAAAACATACATAAGATATTTGCCAACATAACAACTTCTACATTTATAGCTCAGGGACATTGATGACATTTTTCATGTTGTGCTACTGTTATTGCTATCCTTTTCCAAAATATTCCACCACCATTAGCATAAACTCAATGCCTGGTAAACAAAAGCTTCCACTTTCTCCCCTCCTTCCTACCCCTGGTAGCCATTAATAATCTTTTGTATATTTCACACACATTGTGTTTTGTGACATTCACTGCAATCCCCACAATGCAACAGCATTCGTCCTACTTCCTCCCTGTGCCCACCACTTCCCTTTGTCCTTCTTTCCCCTCCCCTCCTGCTTCTTAGCTCTATCCCTGGGCAAATGCTGCCTTCTTGATCTCATATGGTTGATTGTTCTAATGAGTGCATACCTTTCCGATATTACTGTTTACCTTAGAAGTCTGTGATCATTTGGCTGAAAATGGAGCCATGGGGCTTGAGTTCAGTTCCCAGCTAGAAGAATGTATAAGGATAGTCTCGGGGGTCCCACCAGTCTCTATCAGATCAGTAACCCTGGTCTTTTTTTATGATTTTGAATTTTCTTCCACATTTTTCTTTTCTCCCACTCTATGCGGGCCCTCCTATTGTGATCTTGCTGAGAGCAGTCAACAGTGGTAGCTGGGCACCATCTAGTTCCTTTGGTCTCAGGGTTATGGAGGCTGGAATTCCTGTGGTCCTTTAGTCCTTTGGACTAATTATTTCCTAGTGTCTTTCATTTTCTTCCCTCTTCTTTTCTCTGGATGGGGAGAGACCAATAGTTGCACCTTAGATGGCTGCTCACAAACTTTGAAGACTCCAGTTGCTACTCACCAAGGTAGGATGTAGAACATTGTCTTTGTGAACTAAGTTAGGCCAACTGACCTTAGTGTCCCCCAACACTATGGTCTGGAGCCCCCAGGCCCAGTGACTCATTCCCTCAGGGTGTTTGGTTATGGCTGAGAAGTTTTTATAACTTTGCCCCCTATATACATTCAAAGATAGATTTGTAGTACATGTAAATACATAGGTAGAGATATCCTCTGTCAAACCTATCTACATTCATGAGTATAATCCCATTCGCCTTCCATGGTGGGAGTATTTATACCACAGAAATCAGCAAACACTACCAATCAGGGTTTCCTGATCCAATCTCAGGCAGGTGCTGGGAGCCAGGCCCAACAGGAATCAATTTCCCCCTTTTTTTTTGAAATGCAGTCATTAGTTCTCAGCACACTACTGAGGCTGAGCCATGAAGAGACTAAGCTGCTCAAGGACACCCAGGTGGGAAGGACTAGAGCTGACTCTGAAGCCAGGCCATGTGTCTCAGGTGCCCAAATTCTCACATCTCTGTGCTTACCCGTTGTGCCCAACGATCTAGTCGCACGGATTTGGGATTATCAGGTTCCCCATCCCCACATACCCACACCCGCACACCCAGCTATTCTTGCTAGGATAGAGAGAACAGTCACACTCCTCTGGCCCAGTCTAGGAGCCCTCTGCTTAGCCCTCTTCTCCCACCTCCTTCTTCTCTTCCCTCCTCCCCTCCCTCTTTGCCCAGGCCCCTGTCCCTGGGGACTCAGGTCAGTGGTGGAGCAGCTGAGTCCAGGCACACATTCATCCAGGCGGTCAGAGGCCAGCCTTGTCTGCCCACCCTTGGCCTTTGTCTGGCCATCTGCCTGTCAGCTGTGGGATTGCCTTCCGGGGCGAGGGATGAGGGGCTGCCTCATTGTGTGACCTAGAGCCTTTCTTGCTTTGCTCTGGGCCTTCCTACCACCTGGGACCTCCGAGGCCCCTCATCGCTCTGATAGTGGCATCCCCATGGAGTTCTGTAAGACTGCTTCTCTCTTGTTCTGGAAGGAAAAAAACCAGGTCACGTCACTCTGCTCAGCATCCTCCAGTGCTTTCCTTTCTCATCCGTAGAAGCCACAGCCTTCACAGTGAGCCTCTAGACCTTGGTGCCTGTCTTTCTTCCTTCACTCCCTTTTCGCCAGCCATTTGGGCCTCTTTGCTGCTCCTTAGACATAGTAAGCACACTCCTGCCCAGGGCCTTTGCTCTTGCTGTTCTTACCCCGATCTCTAGTATTCATTTCCTCACCTCCTCCAGGTCTTTATTGAAATGTCACCTTCTTTGACCTTCCAGGGAGCTCTGGTGGCGTAGTGCCTAAGGCATTTGACTGCTAACCAGAAGACTGGCTGTTCAAACCCACCAGCCACTCCTCAAAAGGAAGGTTGGACAATCTACTTCCATAGTGATAACACCTTGGAAACCCAAGGAGGGGTTGCTATGAGTTGGATCCTACTCAAAGGCAGTGGGGTTTTTTTTGTTTGTTTGTTTTTGACCTTCTAGGACCTCTGGTGGCACAGTGGTGAAGGCATTCAACTGTGAATCAGAAGGTTGGTGGTTCAAACCCATCATCTGCTCCATGGGAGAAAGATGAGGCAGTCTGCTTCTGTAAATATTGACAGGCTTGGAAACCCCATTGGGCAGTTCTACTCTGTCCAATAGGGTTGCTATGAGTTGGAATCGACTCAATGGCAATGAGTTTGGTTTTGCTTGGTTTTTCGCTACCCTTCTATTTAAAATAGCGACATCAGCTTTCTCTTTCTCTCACACTTATACTTCCCAGCTCCCATTTCTGCCCTTTTCCACTCCTTAGAACTTATAACCAGCTGATACATTTTCATTTTTTTAAAAAAATTATTGTTTCTCTTTCCTAGAATGAAAGCTCTAACAAGGCAGGACTTTTTGTCTATTTTGTTCACTGATGCAATCCTAAGCACCTAAAATAGTGTCTGGGGCACTGTAGCCACACAAACAAAGTATTTGCTGAATGAATGAATGAATGAGTGAATGAAAGTGTTCCCAGCTGTTGGGAAAGCCTCTGCAGCCCACTGGGAGTGAGGGTGACTGTGTGATTTGGCAGGTCTGAGACTTGGGGTCTGAGGCCCAATTCTGTCTGGATTCACTGTGTGACCTTAGGTAGGTTCCTTTCCCTCTCTGAACATATTTCTCCAAGTATAATAAGAAAAGCAATGTGACCAAGTAAGGAACATAGGCTCTGGAATCAGATAGAAGGAGTTCAGTCTCCGCTGGGAGATTTACTGCCTGTGGAACCTTGGACAAGTCACTTCCCCTCTGATTCTGTCTTCCCATCTCCCCATTTGTGAGGTGGGAGGACAAAATCTAACCTGCAGGGAGGTTGGAAAGACCCCTGCTGCATAAGGGGTCCCTAGCAAGGTGCCTGACATGTGAAAAGTATTCAATAAACAGATATTTACCCTTTGCTTTTTTTTTTTTTGTACATTTTATTTCATTTTTATTGTTATTAAAATATAGATGACAAAACATTTGTCAGTTTAACATCTTTCACTTGTACAATTCAGTAACACCAATTACATTAATTATGTTGTGCAACCTAGATGTTTGCTCTACAAAATTACCCAAAGGGTTCACCCGGGGCTGGGTGAGCTGTGGACATGTGTGGAAGAGGATGAGGTCGTGGTACCACCCTCATCCAGAAGGGCCTCTCCTGCCTCCCCTGGGCTGCTTCCAGTCCTGGCCCAGGCATTTGGCTTTAAGTTGGGGTGGTGTGGGCAGGTGGGCCCGGCCCCAGGGAGCCTGCGCTGCCCCTCAAGGCCTCCTTTCCCTGCACAGTGTTCATCTGCAGCTTCATGGTGGCTGCCCCCATCTTCGGCTACCTGGGCGACCGCTTCAACAGGAAAGTGATCCTTAGCTGCGGCATCTTCTTCTGGTCGGCAGTCACCTTCTCCAGCTCCTTCATCCCCCAGCAGGTGAGGCTCGCCCCATCTGCCCACCTGCATCTCCACACATCCCGTCCGTGTGTCCCAGTCCCTGCAGTGAGTGGCTGGTCTGACTGGGGGTTTCAGCTCCTTTGTTTGAACCTCAGTGTCTTCTAAGGGCATTTGGATGAAGGTGTCCTGAAGTACTTTTATAAACTAACCCTGCAGATAGGGCCTTCCCTAAGCTGGCCTGAACTTGGGGACTCACAGCCCTGTGTGGGATCTGGAGTCTTTCTGAGCCACTCTCTGATTTAGAAATGATGCAAGAAACAGTGGAAGCAATCTGCCTTAGGAATTAGGACCTAATTGGGTTCTAGTCCTGGCTCTGCCTTCATCTTGCTGTGTGATCCTAGAGGAGTCACTACCCCTCTCTGAGTCTTACTCAGTTTGCTCTTTTGTCTGATGATCAACTAATTCCTTGGGTCAAAGTTCTAGAAGGGGAAACATCAATTCCACATAAAGATGTTTCTCCATTGGTTCTGCGACTTGGGTTTGAATATTTCAACTCTGCTGTCTATTCAGCTTTGTGACTTGGAGAAAGTTACATAACCTCTCTGAGTCTCAGTTTCCTTATCTGTAAAAATGAAGATAATAATTCTCATCTTCAAGGTTTAGCATGAGAAATAACTGAGCTAATGAATGTCCAAACTCTGGAACATGGCAAATGTTCAATAAATCAGTATTTTAATTATTTTCCTTCCAAAGGCAAGATCCATTGTCTTACGAAGTAGTGAGTTTCCCATCATCACTAGGGGTGTTCAGACAGAGGCTGGACAATCACATGCTGGCTGCTGTAGAGGGCAATGGAGGAAGAAGGGGAGAAGAGCAGGCTCTGTCCTCAAGGAGCTTTCAGTCTAGGGAACAAAGGAGGAGACCTGGGTCTCGTCCTCAGGAGCACCTAGGCTGGGAGTGGGAAGATGGGACAAGAGCTTCCATGCTTATAGCTTCCAAGATGTGCAAAGTGTTGAGAGTTGAAGAGAGACCAGTCTCTTGAAATCCATGAAGTCAGGGAAGACTTCCTGAAGGAGGTGGCCTTTGAACTGGGCAGGCAGGACAAGGAGACTCAGCCTTCTAGTGAAATAGGATGGACAGAGGGAACAAATTCACAGATGTAAGGATGGTGGAGTGTGTTGAAGGAAGGAGGAGAGTGTTTTGGCTGGAAAGGAAAGCAGGAAATGGGTCATAGAGGCTTAAATGCTGGATGGGGTGAGGGGCATGTTCTCCTGAGGGCTTAGTACTGACTGAGACCTGCAGATGTTTGGAGACAAGCAACGCAGGGTCAGATTTACGTGGATTATGAGGAGGTTGGAGACAAGAACAGAGAGAAATTGGCAGGCTGAGGGACAACTTTGCTTCCGGAGCAGTTCCCAGAGGAGAGTTAGGCCCAGGTGAGGTCCAGCCCCAGCATTGTCAAGTGGATCTGGTGCCCAAATGAGAATTGTACTAGAAGCTGCTGGGACCCCTTTGGGCCTCTCCTCCCCCAACTGGGCCTCTGGCCATCTGACTTCTCTGACTGCTTCCAGGGCTAACCTGTAGCCCAGAAGCATGATGCTAAGGCAGGCCCACCTCTGGTGTGTGGAAGGGAGGGGGGGCTGGGAAGCAGAGATGAGCAGAGGCAGAGAGAGAAACCTGCAGATCACCCCCAATTAGTCTGTAAATTCCCTGCAATCACTATCTGAGTCCCACAGGGGTTGTTTGGATCTTGGCAATGTGACCTTGAAGATCAGCTGGCACAGAAAATGCCCAAGAACGGCCAAGAACACTGTAAAAATAACAATGAAAGAGGGCTTGCTCTACCAGATTTCAAAATAGAGTTATTCTAACCCAAATGGCGGAAGAATAGATCAAGAGATCAATGAAACACAGTCCTCGATTCTATAAGGATTTAGAGTATGAGGCAAGTCGCATCTCAAATGGTTTTGGAAGAACTGATGTCCATCTGGATTGAAAGTTAACTTTGGTTTGTATGTCAAACCATAAATGCCAGATAGGCTAAATCTAAACCCAAACCCACTTCCATCAAGTCGATTCTGACTCATTGCAACCCTTCAGAACAGAGTAGAACTGCCCCATAGAGTTTCTAAAGCTGTAACTATTTATGGAAGCCGACTGCCTCCTCTTTCTCCCATGGAGCAGCTGGTGGGTTTGAACTGCTGACCTTTTCATTAGCAGCCCAGCGCTTTAACCATAGCGCCGCCAGAGCTCCTTAGATGGGCTAAAGTAAAGTAAAAAGCAAGCTATAAAAAAATCTAGATGTATAAATCAGTAAGAAAAAACACAAATAACCCAGTAGAGAGGTGGGCAAAGGGTTTGTTGTTGTTGTTGTTGTTGTTATATGCCATTGAGTCAGACCCGACTCATAGTGACCCCTCCTTGGGTTTCCGAGGCAGTATCACTACGGAAGTAGATTGCCCAACAAGGGTAGTGACAGGATTCCAGAAGACACCCAAGCCAGTAATACATGTGAGAATAATAATCAGGGAAATGCAAATTAAAACAACAATGAGATACCACTTCACACCCAGCAGATTGGCAACAATTAGAACGGCTGACAATACCAAGTGTTGTTAAAGCTGTGAAGAATCAGGGACTCAGGCGCTGCTGGTGGGAGTCTAAATTGGTCGAGGCTCTCTCAGAACAAAATGGCAGTAGTTTGCAAAAACACCATGTAGATCCATAGCCCAGCGTTCTACTTCCAGGTGTAGACCCAAAAGAGAAACTCCAATCACGCACATGAAGTGACTCAGGCAGGATTGTAATAGAAAAAAGCAGGAACAACCAAAATGACCATCCCTGGGAGATGCACAGAGAAAATGGGGTATATTCATACTATGAAATTCTTGATCGCAAAACAGTGAACTAGATCTGTCTTAACTAGTATAAATGGGTTTCAGAAAAGATGAGATTGAAGAAAGAAAGTGAGTCGTATCGAATTTCTGGTGCCATTTCTGTTCTTTTTTTTTCAAAGCACACACACAGGACACTGTATGTTGTTCATTTATGCATACATGTGCAAGCAAAGACAGAGGGATTCCCGACAAATGCGCAACAAAGCCGGTTCCTGTGGGTGGAATGAGGGATAAACAGGATCCCCTCGTGAAAGAGGCTGTATCTGCCTACTGTTGTACAAAGGAGGAGGATTGATGAAATCTCTCTCACTCGCTTCTCTCTCTTGAAAACATACCAGACATGAAATGTACGAGAAAACTTTCATAATCTGGGGATAGATTAGGCCTTCCTGAGCAAAACGTGAAATCCAGAAAGCACTAAGGAAAAGTCAACAGATTTGACAGCATCAAATGAAACAACAACAGCACTTCCGTATGGTGAAACTCCGCCTAACACAAAGTTGAAGGAAAGATAAAGTATATGTGACGCATACAATCAAAGGTCACTAAGCGGGATATATAAAACGCTAAGGTGAATCAATACCAAAAGGACAAACAACAGGAAAATAGGATTAGGCTGAGGGCAGAGGGGTCCAGGAAGAGAGAGAAAAAGATTCAGGAGCTGAGGAAAGCCATGGAGAGTGAGAGAGGGAAATAGGGACAGAAATGAGACTGGCTGAGAGATGGATGGGCAGTACCAAGGATGCAGAGAGGGACCTGGGAGAAAGATAAGCAGATACAGGGAAGCGGGGAGGGCTGGTCGTAAGCGATACTGCTGGCTGGGTGGTCAGGGTGGGGCCGGGGAAAGATGACCAGGCTGGGTTCTCAGGCCCAGGGCAGCTGGGGGCCTGGGGGAGGGGGTATACATCAAAGGGGTAGTACCACCCTCAGCTGGCACAGCCCCACCCTTCTCAGCTGAGCTGGGCTTTGCCCTTTGATATGTGTGGGAGAGGGGCTGAGCCCACTGGGCTGTCCTGCCCACTCTCTTCTCACGCTGGCCCTCAGTGCTGCCAGGGTCAGCCTAGCAACCCTGTTTGGGGGAGTAGATCTGAGTGGAAGGTGACTTGAGGTTCCTGAGGTGGATCCAGAACCCAGGGAGGAGGTCTTCCAACAGGTGGGGGCTGTGTCTCCAGTGCCCTATTGCTAATGGGGACAGAGGGACCTGTCTGAGCCATTCCTATAGCTCTCAACCTGGGAAAGCCTAGTCCCATCCCAACACTTGGCCTTCCAGGCCCACACAGGCCCACTGTCCAGAGGGGGAGACTGAGGTCCACAGTGATCTGGGAATCCAGACATTGCCAAAGGAGGGGCTGGGCTCCATCCTTTCCCCTTGCTCCTGGAGCCTGCAGGGGTGGGAAACAGAGTGGGAATGGGGTGGGGAGCCGGCAGAGGAGCAGAATGGTCCCCCAGCATTCCCTCCCCTCCTATACAGTACTTCTGGCTGCTGGTCCTGTCCCGCGGGCTGGTGGGCATCGGCGAGGCCAGCTACTCTACCATCGCGCCCACCATCATCGGCGACCTCTTCACCAAGAACACACGCACACTCATGCTCTCTGTCTTCTACTTTGCCATCCCACTGGGCAGGTGAGAGCTGGAGACCCCAGGGTTTGCTTGAGGATCCGGGCAAGGGCCCCTCAGACTTTGGACCATTTCCTCTCCCTGGAGTTCAGCAGACAAGTGCCCTCAGTTAACTAAACATGTGGTGGTCAGCCTTGGAGACGTGCCGGAACCACTCCCTGGCCAGCTGGGTGGGGAGGCAGGGGAGGCCTGCACTGTAGACTAGTGAGCTTTACCTCCCCCCAGCCCTTGTCTCTGCTAAACCTCACCCATGCCATCTTCTCTGCAGCGGCCTGGGCTACATCACTGGGTCTAGCGTGAAGCAGGCAGCTGGAGACTGGCACTGGGCCTTGCGGGTAAGGCCTGGGTCCCCTCCCACACAGGACTCCCAGAGTAGCTCAGCTCCCCGTCCTCAAGATTCAGGGTCATAGCCCAGACCAGGGCACAGACCTAGCCTCCAAGCTTCCTGCCTGGGCTCTGAAGCCTCTGCCCTTCTAGATTAGTCTAGGCTGAAATGTCAGGAGGCCACACTAGGAAGGCGGCCAGCCTTGCCCTGCTCCTGGGAGCCTCTAGCCGAGGGTTAGAATCTTCCCTGGGAGACCCAGGTTGAGAGATGAAGGACTCTTTCCTTCATGTCAGGAAATTCCATTTGCATGGTGGCGTTTCCTGCTTCAGGTCCTGACACTGGCCTAGGGTAAGGCCCTGCTTTGAGGGCCCCTAGGGTCTGGAGCCACTTCCTGTCCGGTGGAGGGTTCGAGGCCAGTTTGCCAAGGCCCCAGGACAGTGCAATCGGAGGAAACAGAGATCCCCAGTCTCTCGGAGGAGCGGAAGCTGAAGACAAAGTGTTTTTTCCTCAAAAGCAGGAAGGAAGTGGCTTCCGTGGAATTTCTTGATGGGGGTGGGAGGGGGTGGCATGGAAAGGAACTCCCCAGCCCATGGGCTCCCAGGCCTGGTGGGGGTAGGTGCAGATCCCCCTGTTCTCATGGGCTGCTGGAGAGGCTGGCATACTGAAACTTGGGCTGCCAAGAGCTCCCCCTCCCATCCTGAGGAAGGCCTGGAGCCTTGGAGATTCTGTTCTTGACATTAAGCTGGACACAGGGAAGACCCACAGTGGCCCTTGAGGCAAAAAAAATGACCTAGTTGGTCTACTAGCTGGAAGCCTCGTTGGGAGCTAAGTCATTCCTGGTACTCCACAGGGAGCAAACCAGCCTGGGGAAATTTCCTAGCCCCAGGGGCTTGGACAGGACTGGTATCTGACTCCCTGCCCCCATGAACTCTCCCGCCTCTCTCAAGGCCATCGTTCCATTTGTCTGCCCATGTATTCATCCATCTGTCTGTCCGTCCTCCTTCCATTCTCTATCCATCTCTATCCATCTGACTATCTATCTCTCCCTCTCTTCTCTTTGAGTCTATCCTGCCCCTGGTCTTGGCAGTCTGCTTTGGACCCCAAGCCCTTCTCTAATATCATCCATCACCCCTAATGTTTAGCAGCCCAGTCAGGAAGGCTGGCCAGGTACTAGCCCAGAGGAGGTATTGGGGACCCATAGAGGGTGCAACTTGCCTGAGCTCCCCTCCTAGTGCAGCAGAGACAAAGTCACCTGGGTCTTGACGTCCTAACTTCTTGCTCCCTGTCCTGCCAGGTGTCCCCCATCCTGGGCATGATCACAGGAACACTCATCCTCGTCCTTGTCCCAGCCACTAAGAGAGGGCACGTGGACCAGCTCGGGGGACAGCTCAAGGCACGCACGTCATGGCTCCGGGACATGAAGGCCTTGATCCGAAAGTGAGTCCTGATGGGAAGAGGGAGGGGTGCTGTGATGAGAAGACCCCCTGTAAGGCAGCCCACCCCTGCCCAGGGGCCTCAGCTAGACTCCCTGCCCAGGGGCCAGGATCATTGGCCCTGCTGCCCACAGTGCTGGGAGTGATTTGGCCACTAGTGTTCATTCTTACCATCCAGAGTTCCCAGCAGCCTGAACCCTCGCCCCTCCCTCGCCCCTCCGGTCTGCGAGGGAATGCATTGGAGGCCCCTGAGCCTGGGGGAGCTGTGAGCCTGCAGGCCAGGGGAGAAGAGGCAGCCTTTTCTGGGCTCCCGCCCTGGCTCAGTGCCACCGCCCCGGCCTCTCCCCAGCCGCAGCTACGTCTTCTCCTCCCTGGCCACGTCGGCTGTGTCCTTCGCCACAGGGGCCCTGGGCATGTGGATCCCACTCTACCTGCACCGCGCCCAAGTCGTGCAGAAGACGGCAGAGACATGCAACAGCCCGCCCTGTGGGGCCAAGGACAGGTGGGGCCAGGCCAAGTGGGCTGGGGTTGGTGAGGGACACCTGGGCAGAAGAACCCCACTGTCTTGGCCTCGTGCCCCACCCCCTCAACTTGTGCCCTGTCGTCCTCTGTCTCCACAGCCTCATCTTTGGGGCCATCACCTGCTTCACGGGCTTCCTGGGTGTGGTCACTGGGGCAGGAGCCACACGCTGGTGCCGCCTGCGGACCCAGCGGGCTGACCCGCTGGTGTGTGCTGTAGGCATGCTGGGCTCCGCCATCTTCATCTGCCTGGTCTTCGTGGCCGCCAAGAGCAGCATCGTGGGGGCCTATGTGAGTGCAGTGGAGGCCCACGGGGGTCAGGGGATTGTGCTGGGGCTGCAGAAGAGGGCCTGGAGCAGGACATTCAGCCCAGCTGGTTGGACACGTCCTTGCCATGGAGAGGCTCCGAGGTTCTGGTCCCCTGGCTGGCTGCATGCCCTGCTCTGCCCAGGCCTGGGGCTTTGTGAACCCTGCTGGATCTTTAGCCATGGCTAGAGTTTGTGGATCATTCACAATTGCTTGTCAGGATATACAAACTCCAGGGAAGGGTGAGAGGCTTTTGGGGGGCTCTCTGCCATCAGCCAGCATTCAGGGTACAGCCTGGGGCTGGTGGTTGTTGGAGGTCCTCTGACGGTTGCTCTGGTCTCTCCTGGACAGATCTGTATCTTTGTGGGGGAGACACTGCTGTTTTCTAACTGGGCCATCACAGCGGATATCCTCATGGTGAGTGAGCAAGCCAAGGTCACGTCGTGCTGACCCGAGTCTCTTGACCTCAGGAGCGGGGATGGGGGATAGCTGGAGAGGGCAGGTGGAGAAGTGGGAAAGCTGTCAGGGCTCGAGGGGGCTCGGAGGAAGGCATTCTGGTTAGGTGACCCTGAAGGCAGGGAGGTGTCAGGAGATAAGAGATTTGGTGGGTGCATCAGGGCACAGGGCTGAGGAAGAAGAAAGGATGAATAGTGGGGGCTGGTAGAGGGCAGAAGGGGATGTCACCAGGCTCAGGTTTGTGGCTGGGAGGCTGGCAGTGCCAGGCTGGCATGGAGGTGGTGCTGGCTGCCAGTGCTCCTCCCCCAGGGCCTCTGCTTCCACAGCTTCTGCTGGCAGCCGGGGACTGTGGTTGCCCGAGCCAGGCGCCCCTGCCCGAGTGCCCGTGGCTGGGGCTGGGTGGACAGAAGCCGTCTTCACAGGACCAACAATGGGCACCAGACCAGCCAGTCAGGGACAAAGGGCCGTCTGAGTGACTGGCAGGGGCTTGTATCCCTGGGTGGGGACAGGAGGAGCCTAGGAGCCAGGAGGGGGCCTAGTGACTTGTGACGGTCTGGGGGGCAGTGAGAGGCACCTGGTCCTGTCCTCGGGAATCCTCTAAGTCAGAGTCAGGAGAGGATGGGAGAAGAGAGTGCAGGGGTTTGGGGGTGGAGAGTAGGAGAGGCTGGGGCAGGCCCCAGAGGTAGGGAGAGGGAGCACCGCATGGGTGGAACCCTCAGGGTGCTTGGGGCCTGGTGCTGCAATACCTAATGATCCAGGAGAGGGCCGTCTCCCCCGGCACCGGGGCCCCTGTCTGATCTTCCCCTCCAGGAGGCCGCCTTGTCCCTGCCCCCACTTCCCTGCTGGGCTCTCTCTCCCCCGCCAGCCCATGGGTGGGAGTGGCAGATCTGACTCAGCTTTGTGTACAGTAGGGCCAGGTGGAGTGACGGGGAGGGGCAGGGGTCAGTGCACATCCCGAGTGCAAGGAGGGGTCTATCCAGTCTGTCCTCCGCTCCAGGAGCAGCAGTTCCAGCTGCTGACAGGGTCTGGGTCCCAGGGAAATAATGTCCCATTTTATTGTGTGTCACATCCAAGTGACTAATTATTGCTGGAAACGGGGCCACGTCACTTCATCTGATCCAGGTCTCTTCCCCCAGCCACCAGGGTGCCCGCTGGGTGTGGCTGCTCTGTCCACAAAAGCTGGGGCCAGGTGGGCTGCGGGCTGTTGTCTCTGAGCAAATGAAGCAGCCGGAGTGTGGGGGTCGAGGGCCACCATCCTCTAAGTCTAACTTTGGCTGCTCAACTCTGGAACTGTAGCCTCCAGGGGTCAGGGTCTGCTTGGTCTGATGAGGGTGCCCAGGGGGCCTGTTCTGGGACCCAGCAGCTTTTGGCGTTCCTGGACACACTAATGGGTTAAAGAGGCTTTTCCAGGCAAGGGCCTGCTTCCCCTCCCCCATCTGGATCTTAATGGCGGGGTAACCAGATGGGTCTTTAGGCACTGAGGAGGAGAAGGCAAGTGACCAAGAGGCAGGCTTCTAGCTCCAGACCTGCCCTACTTCATGTGAGGCCTCGCTGGAACTTGGGCCTCTTAGGGCCTCAGTTTCCCCTGAGTTACAAGCAACTTCCAAGAGCCAAGTACAGAACCTAAGGCAACCTGACCTCCTCGTGTGGAGAGGAGACTGGGGAGGAGGCACCTGTGCCCATTCCTGAGGGCACCCCCAAGGCTTAAAAGAGCCCCAACTAAAGGCCTATACTGATGGGTATCAGTGTGACCCCCAAATTCTTCTCTCTTTGGCTAGATGTGGAGCCAAGATAGGCAAAGAAAGGTTTCCATCTCAGCTGGGGGCCTGGAGGGCTGCCAGTGTGGGGTCCATGATGAGTTCAGTTTGGGGCAGGCTGAGTGGTGGTGTCGGAGGCCATCTGTGTGGAAGTGTCCAAGAAGCATTCGGGGATCTGGGCCTAGAGGCCTGTGGTCTGGACTGGGGACGGAAGTTAGTCAGAGGTGGTGACTGAAGCTGCGAGTGGACGAGATCTGGCTCTGGGGAGGAGAGGGAGCAGTGGAAAGAGCAGCCACCCTTAGCAGAGGGCAGTAAAGGACACAGTGGCCGAGGGAACCCAGGAGTCGACAAGCAGGAGTGAAGTTGAGGGAGCAGGGGCTGTCAGGAGAGTCCCACCGACCCCAGAGATGAGGCCAGGGGGGAGGGACTGGCTCCGCTGGTGCTGACCTGCCCACCTCTTCCACAGTATGTGGTCATCCCCACTCGCCGGGCCACTGCCGTGGCCCTGCAGAGCTTCACCTCCCACCTGCTGGGGGATGCCGGAAGCCCCTACCTCATTGGCTTTGTGAGTACCACAGGCTGTGAGGCTGGCCTGGGCAGTGGGGAGCGTGGGCTGGGGTGAGGGGCTGTCTCGGAGGGGCCTCTGCCCTGACACGACACCTACCCTCCCAATCCCCGCAGATCTCAGACCTGATCCGCCAGAGCACCAAGGACTCCCCACTTTGGGAGTTCCTGAGCCTGGGCTATGCCCTCATGCTGTGTCCCTTTGTCGTGGTCCTGGGTGGCATGTTCTTCCTCGCCACCGCACTCTTCTTCCTCAGCGACCGCGCCAAGGCTGAGCAGCAGTGAGTGGGGGCGGGGGGTGGACCTGATGCCCTGGGCCTTCTCCCTCTTCTGTGACAGCCCCTCTGTCCCTGGGGTGGTTGGGGGACAAAATGACTTATCCTGGGCTGGTGTGGGTAACCTGGCTTATGTGGTCTAGGGGTCCAGCCTCTGTCACAGATTGCACCCCAAGCCTTTCGGTCATTGTGAGGCTGCCCTCAGCCTCAGCCCGGTACCCAGCCTGTTGAGTCCATGGGGCCCAGGCTGGTGGGGGGGTAGCCCCTGTGTGTGGTGTTTTTAGACTTGGGTTTTTCTCTGGAGCTAATGGTTCCCAGAGCAGGGGCCCCTCCTCTTACTTTTTCTCTCATTTTCTGACTTCTCCTCTCCTCTTTACTCCTCTCTTTCTCTCCTCTCCCCACCCCTGGGCTCTCCCATCTCCCCCTGGGGCTGACGAGGTCCCTGCCCAGAACCTCCGGTCAGCCAGCCCCTGCGATTCGACATGCCACAGCCGTGCCCGGGCCTGGCCCCCGCTGACCTGCCTCCCTGACCCTCGCCTGTCTCTTCCCCAGGGTGAACCAACTGATGATGCCGCCGGCATCCGTGAAAGTCTAAGGTGGTGAGTGCAGGCCAGGGAGGCCCATGGGGGCTGAGGGCCAGACAGCTTGTGGGAGGGGACCACAGAAACCAAACTAGCTGCCAGCTAGTTGGTGCTTCCACGTGTGTCAGAGTAGAACCGTTCTCAGTAGAGTTTTTAATGGCTGCTTTTTTGGAGGTAGATCTCCAGGCCTTTCTTCCCAGGTATTTCTGGGTAGGCTTGAACCTCCAGCCTTTCAATTACCAGCAAGTGCGTCAACCATCGGCACCACCCAGGGACTGCAGGTGGGAGGGAAGGGGCCTGCATTTAGTGGGGACGGAGCTATCAGAGCAGGGCTCCACCGAGCAATGGTACTTGTTCTGGAACCGGGAGCAGCCCCTCATGAGTCACCCCTGCCCAAGAACATCCCACCAGCTCTGTGCTTGGGCCTTCCTCCAAAAACACTGCCAAACTTACTGATGAACTATGGGAGGGAAGCAAGCTCCTTCTTCCAGTAAATCAGCTCCCCCTTCCTTCCTTAGAAGGGCTGGGAACACAGGTCAGGGCTGGGACTGGCCAGGAACTCCTCACTCAGAAGAGCTCAGAGCAGATTTGGGCAGAGAAGGGAGGCTCAGAAAGGAGTCCTTCTGTCCCCCTTGAGGTGCGAGGGCTGACTCTGGCTTTCTGACATGCCTCAGGGCCTGGCCTCTTGGGGCTGTAGCTTCCTAACAGTCCAAGACCTGGGTAGCTGCTTGGCCATTCCCCCTATTGTTGTTGTTAAGTGCTGTTGAGTCGTTTCCGACTCATAGCGACCCCATGCACAGCAGAACGAAACACTGCCCGGTCCCAGGGATACAGGTGAGGAGAGACAATCAGGGACGCCCAAAGCAGCAGGTGGGAAGAGCAGGAGAAAGGGGATTAAAAGCCAGGAAGCCAGAGAGAAGAGCAATCAGCCGACGGGATTAGGTGAGGAGAGGAAACTCAGGCCCACCCAAAGCAGCAGGATGGGAAAGCAAGAGACAGGGGATAAAAGCCAGGAACTTGGACAGAAGAGCAGTAAGCCCCAGGGATACAGGTGAGGAGAGACAACTCAGGGATGCCCAAAGCAGCAGGCCAGAAGAGCAGGAGAAAGGGGATTAAAAGCCAGGAAGCCAGAGAGAGGAACAGTCAGCCACAGGGACCCAGGTGGGGGGTGATACGAGAGGTCTCCAACAGCAAGACAAACTTGTCTGTTGGTTTGTCCTACTGTGGTGACATGTAGACGTGAGTTTTGAGGCTGAGCCTCTGGTGTTTAAAACCCAGAGAAATGCACCTGGTACACAGGTAACAGCCCAGCTTATAGACCGAGCCAGACTAGGAAGAAGGAAGAGGCTGTCCGCTTCTCAAAGAATTGGCCAGGGAAAACCATTCCCCCTAAATCAAGGAAAATGCAGGAGCAAAGCCCTGGAATGGTCCCTCTCAAAGACCCCCGTCTCTGACCTCTGACCCCTTCCCCCAGGTGCTGCTGGGACAATGAAGAACCCACACTCCTACCTAGTCTAGGAGGTGTCCTCCAGCACCCTGGCCCTTCTGGGTTGTCCCAGACCTATCTGGGTGACCCAAGGCTGGGCACCCACCCTCTCTGGTTGGGGACTGCAGAGTGGCCCTGGCTCCCAGAAGATGCCGTGTCCTCAGTTAACCAGGAAGGCTGTGTTTGCTGCAGCCATACAGTTGGACAGATGCCCAGCCCTGGATTTGGGCTGCAGGCCCCCTGGGGCCAAAAGAGACGGCATCCCCAAGTGGGTGTATCAGGACAGCCTGGCCTGTCACCAGCTTATGTGATCTTGGGTAAGTCCCTGCCCTGCCTGGACCACGGGGCCATAGGGCTGGACTTTCCCATGCAGCTTGCTGGGCAAGACGCCATCTGCAGCTTTGAAGCCCCAACAGTCTCTGGACCATACAGAGAAGAGGTGGCCCAGGCCTCAGGGAGGTGGTTCAGGCCCTGAGGCTCTGGAAAGGCCTAGAGTGTAGAGCCATCACCTTGGGGATGTTGGACTCAGCCTGGCAACCACAGTTGGGCACCTAGGTCACGGGGCTGTCCCCAGACCCACCAGTTCACTCTGGAGGACACCAGTCATCAGTCTCAGGCTGACTCTCAGCCTGGTGGTCTCCCAGGTGGGGATCATCCCAGGACAGAGTTGGTATCACCAGGGGTGAAGGCCCTGGTGGCAGCTATACATCAGCCCTGCACCCATGCTTGAGGTGACAGGCTAATCTTTGGGGGTTACCCACCCACCTCTGCAGGGCTCCCTAGAGCACTTCTGCTGTCCACATCTCCCCTCCCCACCCCCAGAAGCCAGGAACCCACTCCCCCTCCCTAGGCTGGGCTGGGCTTTTCCAGGGCCAGGGTCCAGAGGACCATTCCCAGAATCCATGGGGCAGCAGCCAGGGCTCTCGCTGCCAGAGGAAGCAGCCATCCAAGCTTCCTGCCCTAGGGAATGAGCTTGGCAGAGGCCTACCCAAATGGCCAGCACCCCAGTCACCTCCAGGTACACCTCCATCCAAACCTGCCTGTTGTTGCTTCCACAATTTACACTCTCCACTGCTCCCTCTAGCGGGCCAGGCCTTTACCTGGCTTCAGCTCACACACTCATTTGCACACACACCCCTATAGTGTGCTGTGGCCAACTTCACAGGAGCCTCTGGCCACCTTGGTGGAGCCTATCCCCTTGCCCCACATATTTCCCACACATTTGCTGGAACCCAAGGGGGTTGTGGTCTGGAGTACCCCTTGTTGCCAGTAGGAGACCCCAAGAGCCAGCTTGGACAATGTTCTCTTTGCCCCTTCAGTTACCTACAGGCTGGCCCTGGCTTCAGTGGTGTGTAAGCTAGTGGAATACCCACTCCCGACCAAGCCCTGGGGCACCCTGGAGGGCCTCACATGCGGGTGGGATGGGTATCCCCCAAAGCCCAGCCTGGTCTCTACCCCCACCCCCACCTCGGCTGGGGCCCCAGCAATGTTTTCTTGTTGTACAAGAACCAGGTCCAAGTGTTGCCTCCTCTTCCTTCCGGAAGCCAAACTGCTCCTTTATTTTTTAGAGCTGCTGATTGTGAATCTCAGAGTCTAAGAGAAGCCAAATATATTCCTCTTGTAAATGAAGAAATAAACCTATTTAAATCATGCCTTGGTGGGTCCTGCCACAGAACAGCCTGGGGTATGCGTGAGGGGCTAGGAGAGGGGTGGTCTGGGCCTGGCCAGTGTGGGTGGTCCACGCTACCTCGGGGCAGCTGTGTACCTGTGCCGATTTATGTACTGGCATCTCAACAACAGAGCCTTGACCTTGGTCTACCATGCCCTAGGAGCCAAGAACTGGATGCTGTAAGCTCTGACTCATCACGTGTGTCAGTACAACCCTGCTCTGCAGTGTTTTCGGTGGCTGATTTTTCGGAAGCAGACTGCTAGGCCTTTCTTCTGGGGTACCTGAGTGGACCTGAACCCCGAACTCTAGCCTCATGGTCAGCAGCTGAATGCTCAACCACTTGTCACCCAGGGATATGAAAGCCCATGGAGATTAAGGTTAGACAGACCAGCCAGAGAGCAGAGGCAGGGCCCAGCCTCTGCTGGGCCAGGGGTCTATATACCACCACCCTTGGGACCAAACAGTGATCTCTGCACAGCAGGACCTCCCAGCAAGCTGACAGCAGATTCCTCCCCAAGTGGCAGAAAGCAGAAGCACAGACTGTGGCTTGTTTATTAAAATTATGGTGGAAAAATAGGAGTCTCTATAGAGGGCTGCTGGAGGCAGGGGCTGGGTGGCAGGGCCTGCATTCAGGGCTTACCCGCCTTCTTCAGCTGCACCTTCTTCTTCTTGGCTCCACTCCGCAGGAGGGTGGGGCTCCCATTGGCCAAAGACAGCCTTGCCTTCTTCCGCAGGGTGGGCTGTGGTGACTTGTCTGAGACCCCCTTCTGATGCTTTTTACCAGCAGACTCTGTGCAAGTAGCTCCATTTATCTGGGACTGCTTCTGATGTTTCTTCTGAAGCTTTGGGGTCTTAGCAGGGGTGTTGGGGCCTGCAGTGGGGGTGGCAGAGGTGCTAGGGCTTGTGATAGGGCTGCTGGGGGTAGGACTCTTGGCCGCAGGCTTCCCGTTTGCCTGGGACTGGGCTGAGGCCTTGGCCTTTGTCCTTTTCCTCCTCCTCTTCTTCTTCCCTGAGCTAGGGGGCTGCTTGTCACCGGTGGCTGCCGGCTTGGCTTCTTGCTCTGTGGCATCTTCTGGCTTGCGTTTCTTACGCTTCTTGGTCTCTGGCAAGAATCCCTTTTTCTTCCGTTTCATGCTAACAGGGCTTTGGGTGTCACCGGAGATTTCCTTGGCATCCTTCTTCTCTGACTTGGGGCGCCTGGGAGGAAGCACACAGGATGAGAAGAGCTCCGGTGAGAGCAGGAGTGGTCCTCCACCCCACGGTTGTGTAGGACCCAGGCTGCCCCAAACCGGAGGGTCTTTCCAGCCCCCTCCTGAGGTGTGGGATCTCCTCCCTGGACGTACTGGACTCCCAGGAACTTCATGGCCTGCCAGTAGAGGTCGTAGAGACGGCTGGATCCTGCTGTGTGTGCCCCCTGCTGCAGACTCTGCTGTAGGGTTGCCTGGAGGCCTTGCAGCAGGCCCAGGATGGAGGTCAGGTCCACGGTCAGCTTCTGTGGAGAGGCAGAAGTCTGTGCTGCAGTGGCTGATGGGGGCAGAGCCTCTCCAGGCTCTCAGTCCCCAGCCCTGCACAGTGACTGCCACTGGACTGATCAGCTGCCCCCTTCTGGGCCCTCAGCCTCTCCCCCTACCCATAATTAGCTCTCTCACCTTGGGAGGAAAAGCACCCTCTCTTGGGATGTCATGCTCTTGCCTCCCTTTTGCAGTCAGGTCCATGGCCTGACCCCGCTTCCTCACATCCTATGCACCCCTCCTCCCTTGACAGTGGCTCTGGCCCAAACACTGACCTCGGGGGGCACCAAAGCCTTCCTTTATAGCTCACCTTCCTGTCACGTAATAGGTTATTTTCGCAGCCCACTGGCTCCCAGGATATCCCCTTCTCCCAGCTTCCTTCTGCCACCCTGAGCCCTGCTTCTGTTCTATTGCCCCTTCCACACTGCTGTTCTGCAAAGTGCTATCCAGACCCCCACCAGCAGTTGTCTCTGGCCCTCCACCCTGATGGCCTGTGAGCACCTCACAGTCCGCATGCCCCAAACTCAACCCATCACCACCCGCCCCTCTCCCAGTAACGGCCCCACCCTCCTTACATCAGGCCTGGAAGCCTGGAGCTGTGCTGGGCTTCCTTCTAACTGCTGCCCACCCAGAGCCTTCATCAACTCCTCCCACTGTCTCCATTCCTTCTAGCTCCTCCTCAGGGTTCCTCCTGGAGGACAGAGATACCACAAGCTGTCCCCGACCCTGGCCAGGCCATGGTATAGCCACTCTCTCTGCCTAACTCAACACCACTGCCATCCATGGCTCTGTAACCAGTCTGATCAAAAAGCCCAGACTCCTTACCCTGGCATTCAAAACCTTTACCCCAAGCCTTTGCTCAGACTGCATCCTCCCTGACTCCCCCAGGAAGGCTGTTTCCAGAAACTGCAGTGTGACAGATGCCCTTCCCTGTCGAGCCCCAGGTGTAGTGGGCTGCTCTTGGCTTACCTGGACATGGACTGCCTTGAGGAGAGTGATGAGCAACTCCAAGGAGGACAGCTCCCTCTGCTGCTCCGACTTGGTCTGTCCCTTACCCAGTGTCCTTAGGTTCTAGGGAGGAGGCACAAAGGGTGCTGAGACAATCTGCCAAAGCCTCCCTCTCCTTTCCCACCTGGCAGACTAAGACCCAGAAAGGGACATGTCTTCCTGGTCCCTGGTCCCTGGTCCCTGGGGAACCATTCACTATACTCCTATGGGCTTGTGGGGAGGGGTCCACGGCTGTTACCTCAGTGACCTTCACCAGGACCTGGCTGATCAGCTGCTCCCACTCGGAGTCCTCAAAGCACAGTCTCAGCTCCCCCATGGACAAGGACTTCTGGAGAAGCAGGCAGGCTTGGGCCTGGGGTGAGAGGATGTGGTCACCAGGAGCCTCAGCAGGCAAAGCCAAGACTTAGGGAGCCATGGGGGGAGGGAGGATAGGACCCCAGAGCTCCAGGAACCTGCGAGGCATTTATTAAGGCCAAGACAACTTCAGGCTGTGGGTGAGGGCTGCCTGCTGCTTTCAGTCCAACCCGTCCAGGCTATCTCCTAAACTCCGGGCTCAGCAGTCACCTGCCGCTGTGCCCTCTTATGCAGCTGGAGAGCAAAGCTGAGACTTCCCGGACCTCTTACCAGCTCCGTGCCACCTTCCTCCAGCCTCCCTACTCTCCTCACCCCAACCCTCAAGCCAGAGGGAAAGTGGCAGCTGCAGGGGCGAAGCAGCCGGCTGGCCCCTTTCCCTTAGCTACTCTGTACCTATGGTGTGGGAAGGGCCCCAAGCATGGCCATCAACCTTGCAGGGGCAGCAGGTCAGCATCCATGGGCCTCACGAATACCCAGCCAGGAACCAGTCAATTCACTAGGTAATTCACGCCAGCCTGGGAAGTCACTTACCTGCTGGCGGGGCCGCACTGGGCCTGTCACGTGCTGGACCATGCTGGGGAGCAGGCACTTACAGAGCCCCTAGTGGGGAGGACAGGGCTGTGAGGTGGGGCTGCACTGAGCAGGCCCGGGGGGAAGGGCTGCCACCCCACTCACCGGGTGCCGGCAGAAGAGGCTGAGAAACATGGGGACAGTGAGCGGGCTGTTGCGCTTGGTGAGAAAGGAGCTTAGCGCTGACGAGTAGACCAGGGTTACACGTTTCAAGTCCAAGCAGCTGGTAGCCTAGGGCAGGTGAGAAAGAGTTGGTGTGGGGCCAGGGAGAGGGGTTCCTGGCATGAAGAAGGGTCTGTGCCACCTTTAGAAAGCTAAAGGTTTGGTCCTGGCAAAGTCACAGCCTTGATTCCCCATCTGTGAATGGGGCACATGGGCTCCAGCCTGCTGGCGAGGGCTTGCTCCTGTCCACCAGCACCTGGCCCTCTGGGCTGCTATCTGGAGCCATTCCAGCTCTAGCCCTCCTAGCCAGGCCTGCTCACCTCGGGGCCCTTGGCCTTAGCACTGGCTTTCTGCTTCTTCGGGGTCTTAGGGGGCAACGCATTGGTGGTGTTGCCCTTCAAGACCCGGAGTAGGTAGAGAGAGGCGTTGAAGTAGTAGAGAGCGACGGAGGAGTCGGCCTGGCGGCCAGCCTGCTGCACCAGCCGCTCCACCTGTGCGTGCAGTGCCTCCACGTGGTTGCCGACGTCGTGGCAGTAATGCCGGGCTCGGCAGAGGTGGTGCCTGTGGAGGTAAGGGCAGAGCTGGCCACAATGTCCTCTCTCTCCCTGCTCCTTGCAAGGAGAGCTAACTCCAAGGGTCAAGACCCTCGATCCCAGTTCACAGATGAGGAAAGAGAAACCAAGAGGAGAAAAAGGAATGTGACCAAGGTCACAGATGGAGGCCCAGAGTTGGCAGGGCTCAGGGTGCCCAGGCAAAGGACAGAGGGGAAAAGGGCTGCCTGAGCTGAAGGTACATGATGGGCTAAACGCCCCCATCTAGTCCAAATCTCCCACCTGCACCTGCCTCTCCTGGGGCAGTAGTCTTCGGGCCCTGGGTAAAAGGAGACCAGAGTTTTTGTACCCTAAACCCTGAGAGACTCTGACAGTCAAAAAAGGTGGTGGGGAAGAGTATTTGGGAGAGCACCACTTGAGGGTGTGGGCCCAGATGATACGCTGGGGGCAGTGCTGCCAGCCACACGCTCCCCACTGTGCTCTATACTTTCATTTGTGGCACTCTATGTCTCTAGGCCTTTGTGCCTCCCACCACCCAAGCTCTTGGGAGGAGGCAGGTCTGGGTTTGCTTTCTGCCTCATCTCTCTCTGGATGCCTGCAGCTGGCCCCTTGCTGGGCTCCCACTCCAAATCCTCCCCACGTTGCAGCCCGTCATTTAAAACCAGCCCCAACCTCATATACGTGCCATTTGTGGAACAAGCCTCTGTGGCAACCCCAGCACTGCTAGGACCAGGGTGCACGAGGCCTACCGCACTGCTAGCCTGATGTCCCAACTGCATCTGACCAGGCCCTGCTGGAGTTGCTTTCTTTCTGCCCTGCCCACACCCTCCTGGCCTGATCAACCACCATTTATCAAATAGCGCCTAGCACTGCTGTCACTTTTCAGGGAGGCCTTCCCTGGAACTTTGATACTGGCTGGATGTCCCCAGCACTCTGTGCTCCCAGTCTCCTAGCCAACCCCATCAGAGCCCACTGTGACTGCCACAGCCTGATGACTGTATGATTCCCTTACACTGACCTCTGAGCACAGGGGGCAGGATAGCAGGTCCCGAAGAGCACAGCTCTAAGTGTCAGGGAAAGGAATGGACTGTGTGTGTGTGTATTACTGAGTGACTGGTATCCTGTGGCTGAGCAGTGAGCCTGGAGCCAGGCAGTCCCAGACTCAACGCCCCTGTGCGTGTGGCCCGTGCTCACGTGAAGATACGGGCCGTCTTGTGCAGGAGGTCCTGCTCCTGTTTGGAGCTGCTGGTACGCATGCTGCGCCGGATGACGGTCAGCAGAGGCTCGAGTAGCTCCAGGACCAGGGGGTTCTCGGGCTGCCTCGTCACCAGCACCTCGATCAGGTCCAACACCTGTGGCCAGGAGGGGCAGGCTCAGCCGAGCGCCGGGGCTGGGCGGCGAAGGGCCAGCTGGGATGCTTGCTTTGCCCCAGGCTCACCCTGATCTGGAAGTCCCGCCGGAGCATCTTCTCCTTCTGCAGCTTGTTCTTCTCGTCCTTCTTTGCCTGGATGCGCAGCTTCTGCTCGGCAAAGAGGCTGGCGAGGTTCTGGTCCAGGGCCATCATGGCCTCATCCCCCAGCTCCTCTTCTTCCTTGTCCTCGCTGTCCAGCCCGCCCTGAGGGGCAGATGCCTAGCCATTAGCCTGGTGATATGCAAGCAAACAGAAAAGACCCGCAGACGGGTCCCCGAGACCCCGTCCTGGCTCCTGCTCACCAGGGCCTTCCCTGCCTGCAGCACCGCCATCAGCTGCTCCCGGAAGCCCTGGTCCACGTCCCCATCCCGTGTCTCCTCGTCGCTCTCCTCCTCCTCCTCGTCGCTCTCCTCCTCCTCCTCCGCGCTCTCCTCCTCATCCCCCTCACTGTCCGAGTCGCTCTTGCTCTTGTTCTGCGAGTAATGGGTGTGTCAGGCTTCCCATGTCCCGGCACGGGTCTGCCTGACGTGGCCCGCCCTGCTCTGCTCCTCCTTGAGAAGCACCTCTGCAGGCTTCACCTGCTGCTGCTTCTCGTCAGAGTCGTCTGTGACCACCACGTTGTCGTCCTCATCCTGGCTCTTGTCAGGGTTCAGCACCTGTGGAGGAGGCCCAGATTACTGACCTGGCTGCTATCCTGGCTCTCAGATCAGTGGGCCTTTATGGCTGCCTCCCAGGCCAGGCCACTGTCCAGTCTTGGTCAAAAGGTCCGTATTTCAGGGAGGAAGATGGAGCCCAAGGGAGAAGGCCACGCTCTCGAACGCCCACTGCCAGATCCCGCCGTGGCCTACCTGATTGAGGCCTGTCACTCTGTCTCAGTGAACCCCACTCCATGCCTGCCTGCACAAGCTTGCCCAGCGGCAAATGAAAGCCCCCCACCCCTGGGGTCTGCTCCCCCATCTATTAAGCAGGGAGGTCCTGGCCCCTCTGCACGACTGTGGTGAGGTGGACGGGGGGATGAATAGAGCACCCCTGGTCCAGCCTGGTGCTCAGTGGACCCCATCCCAGACCCAAGTCTCCAAAGACCTCAACTCACATCAAGGATTAGTTGGAGGGCACGTGGAGTCAGGTGGGAGCAGATATGGCCAAACACGCTCCGGGCTACCTGGCGCATCAGGTGGCTGGGCTGAGCCAGCAGGGCCAGCAGGATCTCCACCAGTACTTCTACCCATGGCGGCTCCTGGGAGTCTGCAAGCAGGAAGGGGGCTGAGCCCAGGCAGGGCACTGCTGGCCTGACCTGTCAGGTCAGCCTCATGCCAGGCCCCTGTTGTGCCAAGGACATGGCTGCCACCCCTCCACCCCAGGGGTGAGGACCCACCAACGGCCTTGGAGCGCGTCCGGCGGGGCTTCTCCTCTAGGCTCTTCTCAATGCACGTCTGGATGTCACCTAGGAGCTCACAGCTCTCTATGGGAGACTGTGGACAGACAGGGCAGAAATCAGGGCCAGGCCCCCCGCTCCCAGACTGTGCTAAACAAGGCAGGGGGCTAGGAAAGCGGGAACAACTGGTGCCAGAAGCCTAGAACACTCCAGTTACGGCTGCCTTGGCCGGTCACCCTCATAATTCAGACCAGAGAACTCCAGGCCCCAGACTCCAGAGGCAGTCCAAGAGCGGGTATCTTTTCCACACCAAGTATGTAGCCACAAGATCTGAGTACCCTTAGAGAGCACAGAGCCCACCTTCCTTCCCCCACTGGACACCCAAAGAGGTAGAGAGCTGATAAGGATGACAAGGTCAAGGTCCCATGCCTCCTGATTTGCAATTCTGGATTACTTCCCCAATCTAGCTTGGCATTAATCCAAAACCCACTGCCACTGAATCAACTTCAACTCACAAAGAGTGTTTAAAGACAGAGTAGAACTGCCCCACAGGGTTTCCAAGGCTGTAAATCTTTACAGAAGCAGACTGCCTCATCCTTCTGCCACAGGGCGACTGGTTCAAAACGCTGACCTTTCGCTTAGCAGCCAAATGTTTTAACTACTGTGCCACCAGAGCTCCTAGCTTGGTATTATAAAGATAGAATTTTAAACCATTAATTTATTAAGTTTAAACCAACTTAAACCCATCTTACTGGGGACAAGCATAGACTCCAGCCAGGGAGCCTTCTGAAAACACTCTGATGCTTCAAAGTTTAGGCTAGGGGTATAAGAAGAAGGCCAAAATGGGGGACCAGAGCCCAAGCCATGCTGTGTCTAGCTCCCTAGTTGTGTGACTGATCAGGTCCCTGCCCTTCTCTGAACCACACCCTTTTATGCAGGGGTTGGACACACCCTGAACCACAGCTGCTTCTTTCCAGACCAGCCAGTGGCCCTAGGACATAAGATCTTAATAGATGTAATCAAGTGTCCTAGCAGACCAGGGCCCTGCCAATCCAAAGGCCCTGTGCCAAGGATCACAGGGGGCATCACAGTCAACCGCTACCCACACAACTGGCCCACCAGCTGGGCTCAGAGTGGCCAAGGCTGGCTTGGAGGCCAAAACCACATCCCAGAGGCCAGAATGGAGAAACCGAGAAGCTGACTGACTCAGGCTTCTCACAACCTGAAGCAGCCCTGACCACAGCCTCATGCAGTGTGAGAAGGCACCCTCCTAAGACATCAGGCCTTGTCATCAAGAAGAAACCACAGGGTCGGAAGATCTGCTGGCGCCAAGCTGCCAAGTGGGTCAAAGCTTCTTGGTGGAAAGAAGAGCAAGGGAGACCCAACAGGTTCTTTACGAGCCACCATTAAGTGTACAAATATGAAACGTGATAAACGTAGTGTAACGGGGCACAGAACTCAGTGCTGAAGCTCAAATGAGGAAAAAACACTAGCCTGAACTTACAACCAGTGATTCCAGGTGGGTGAGAGTGAAATCTGAAAGTCGGCACCCCACTATTAATTACCACCCAGTGGCAGAAGAAATGCCCCCTGGGCGACAGGTCTGCCCTCACTCACAGGAAGGCAGCTTTTTCTCTCTTATACCTGTTGTGGGTTCAGTTATGTCTCCCAGAAAGATATGCTCAAGCCCTAACCCTGGTACCAGGGAGTGAGATCTTCTCTGGAAACAGGGTCTTTTTAGATGTCACTAAGTTGATATAAGGTCATATTTCAGTAGGATAAGCCCTAAATCCAATGACTGGGGCCTTCATAAAGGAAGAAGAAACAGAGACGCAGACATACATTGAAGATGCCATGTCAAGATGGAAGCAGAAATAGGCATGATGTAGCTACAAGCCAAAGAATGCCAAGGAAGCCCGGCGACCACCAGCAACTAGGGCATCAAGGAAGCACTCTTCCCTAGAGCCTTGACAGACGGCAAGAAGCTGCTGACACCCTGAACTTGGGCTTCCAGCTCTAGAACTGTGAGACAATGAACTCCTGCTGTTTGAAGCCACCCGGTTTGTGGAACTTTGTGATGGCAGTCCCAGGACACACCACAGCCCACCACCCCTGGCTGCTCAGGCCCATTCTGGGAGGCTCTGTGGGACAGCAGGGTCAGATGAATCCCAGCCCATCACTGTGCAGCCTACAAAAAGTTGCTTTGCCTCTCTGGGCCTGTCAAAAGTGGGAAGTGCCTGCCTCAAACCTGTGGGGATTCTAAGAGATGCTGCCTGGAAAGCTCAGGATGCTGGCTGGTGCCCGGTCCCAGGGGGAAGTGATTTCTCCTTGGGTTCTAACTCCGCCCAGCACTGGGTCAGCTTAGAAAACCTTCCAACTTCAACTCCCCAGAGTCCTCCCTGCTCACCCCACATCCTCTAAGAGGCCTGCTGTGCCACGAACCGCAGGCCCGTAGCCCCCTGTACTGTGCAAGCCACTGTACCTTGAAGAGATGGATGCCCACCAGGAGGAGCAAGTGCTGGAAGGCTGTGGCCTTGACCTCTGCGGAGCGGGCTTCTAGCTCCTTCAGAGTCTGCAGCATCCTGGGAAGAGGTGGGCATGTTCTCAAGCCACTGCTGCCAGAGTCAGACCCGAGGGCCCTGCTCACCCTTGGAAACGCCCCCGCTCACCGGTCCCAGGCTTGGCGCTGCTGTGCAGTGAAGGGTGTCACAGTGGCCACATTGCGGTTGTGGTTCAACAGCATGTCTGTGAACTGCACCAGGCGGAAGGTCCAGGGCTGCCTGTCTGGGGTCTGGCCCGGCACCTGCTTGAACTGCGTGCTGAGGGCCTGCAGCAGACTGGGTAAGGGTGGGGTTGAGGTCACAGTGCTGAACCTCCACCCACTCCAGGGCTCAGTACCTTCTCCTTCCAATCTACTGGAACTCACTGGTCCTCTGCAGTTCTTCCCAGCTTACAGTCCTTGAGACCACGTCTGCCTGGCCACCCACCCTCATACCCCTCCCCAGCTGCCCACCTGAAGAAGGCATTGCAGACCACCTCTCGGGTCCGGCTCTCCAAGGGGAAGGACAGCTGCTGCTCAGTCTCGGGAATTTGGGATGTGGGCTTCTTGGTTTCAAAGAATGAATGGAACAAACAGAACCTGGGGAGACAGGAAAGCCACTAGCATGAATCCCAGACAGTGTTAATTTTCTCAGACCTCTTTCCCTGGATGGCATCACTGGGCACAGGGCTGGGAGAGGGAGCTCTTCTGCTCTGGGCATGACCCCCAGGGGCCTGATGGGCAGGGCCTGAGGCAGCCAGGCCTCGAGAGAAAGGAGGTACCACTTGGGTATGAACAAAAAAACAACTTTGGCTCAGTCAAGGTTGGGGAGAGAAGAGCAGAGCCCTCACTGGTAACCAAGATAGGCCTAGGCTATGTGGCCTTGGCAAAGTCACAGTTTTGCTTCTACAGAATAGGGCCAACGAGGTACCCTCTTGGAGGACTGAATGAGCACCTGGCCGTGCCTGGCACAGATGATGCAGGTGTTGGGAAAAGGCTCCCCAACATCACTGATGTGCAAAGGCTGCCTATAAAGACGTGCAGGAAGCCTGAGCCTCTGAGGCCCCTGGACCCCACACTTCCCACGTCCCTTCCCTGACGGGTCTGAGGAATTTCTCTAAATCTTATGCCTCAGAGGCAAGAACAGCTTGCTGCTCCCCATGCAATGTGAAACTCCTGGTTCCAAGAGGGTCCGAGCCAGGACGAGGTAGCAAGACACCCCACCTAGCAGAATGGGGCCCAGCACATCCCGCACCTGGCCACCTCCTCAATCAAGGCTTCCTCCTTCTCCACTTGGGAGTTCTCCACAATGCTGACCAGGCGAAGGATGATCCACTTCCGCAGCCGGAACACAGTCCGCTCAGGCCTGGGGTAAAAGCCGGAGTCGTGGGGGCCGTTTAGAGGCAATGAACACAAGGCACTGTCTGCTCCATCCCGGAGAGAGGACAACCCAAGATCCTCCGCCCCTACAGCAGCTGGGACTACACACAGGGAGAATGAAGCTTTTGCTCAGAGCTAAGGAGCGCCCCCCTGCTCTCCCATGGTTTGGAGTCCAGGCGTTCTGGCTCCACAGGCCCAGGAAGCCACTCCTTCTACCCTGGGCCTTCCCCCCAGGCCCACTCACACATGGAGTGAAGCATCCTGGTTCTTCTTCTGGTTGCTGGTGCTGAAGTCAACCAAAGAGTCCAGGCTGGGCTGGAGAAACATGTCCCGCAGCCAAGCCACATAGTCCTTGAGGGCACGGGGACCCAGGAACCGCACGACTCGCCAGAAGGTGGGCACAACAGGGTGGCCCTGGTTGGTGACGGAGGAGAAGGCAACCAGCAAGGCCAGCTGCCGCTCAGGGTCATCCTTGCAGCCCTCCAGAAAGGCGCCCACGTACTCATCCATCTCAGGTGCAAACTTGAACCGGTCCCGGAGCTGCAAAGGGCAGGCATGGTGCTGGCAGAGGGTCGAGCTTTGGGGCCACCTACCCAGAGAGGCTGGCCCACAGTCTCTTCCATACCAGGCTGAACTGAGGCCCAGGAGCCCCAATCCTTACACCCAGACCGGCTGAGCCTCGAATCCTCCCCATTCCAGTCCACCGTATGTAAACAAGAGTAGTTCCCAGCACTTTGCCTGGCATCGTGCCTCCCTAGAGTCTGACTCCTCCAGCCTCCAAACCCCTGGCTCCGGAAGGTCCTTCCTTTCTACCTCTCACTGGAGCCAGCAAGGCTCTTTTCCTGGTCTGAGGCAGGGCAAGTAGTGATTGAGTCCAGATTGGTTCATCCAACTGACCTAGGTTCCAATTCCACTTCTGCCAGTCTCTAGATGTGCCATCCTGGGGCTCAAAGACTAACATCCCTTATGTGTTCACTACATGCCTGGGATCATGCTACATGCTTTCATGTGTTGTTAGTAGGTGCCACTGAGTCATCTCTGACTCATAGCGACCCTATGCATAGCAAAATGAAACACTGCCCGGTCTTGTACCAGCCCCACTACCCTTGCTATATCTTAGCCCAACGTTATAGCCACTGAGCCACTGTGTCTATCCATCTTGTTGAGAGCCTTCCCCTTTTTTGCTGACCCTCTACTCTACCAAGCGTGATATCCAAGGAATCGTTCCTTCTGACAACATGACCAAACCATGGAGTAGCTCTTTAAACCTTCCTAACAATCTGTGAGCTTGGCCACTGATACCGCCATTTCATCGATGAAGAAAATGAGGCACAAAAGCTTAGGAGACCTTCTCAGGGTCACAGAGTGCATGGGTGGTGGGAATGGGACTCAGACCCAACCATGATGGCTTCCCATCCATCATGCCCTTAACCACTGTCCAATACTTTTTGAGCCTGTTCTCTTACCTGTGAAATAGGAATGGCAGCCATCTGAAATGAGCTGTAAAATTAAATGGGACGGGGAGAATAGCCAACCCAACACTATTTACTACATACCAGTCACTGTTTCAGGGGCCCACTTAATCTTCCCCAGACCCTGGGACGGAAGTACTGCCCATCTCATTTTATGGACAAGGAGTCAGGCACAGAGAAGTTAAATAACTCATGCAAGATCACACAGCTAGTAAGAGGTGGAATCAGGACTGAAACTCTAGTCTGGTCCCCAGAGTCCACACACTGAACCAATGCTTGATTCTTAGGTTCAGTATTTAGCCCGAGGCACATGAAAAGTGCTCAGAATTACGTTAGTGATGATGATTATGGTCATTATTACAACACCAGCCAGGGGTAGTCTGAATAGACCACTGGTACGCTTCTCTCCTGGGGGACAGGGCATAAGGAAGAAGGGCCTGATCTTGTCAAAACTCAATTCAGAGGGAGGAGAGGAGGTTTAGGTTATTCACTTTACCCAGAGGGAGGAGACACTTGGGTCCCAGGCCCCTCCCAACAGCAGCTATGGTTGCTTATTCCAAGGCAAGGACTAATGAGACAGGAAGGAGGTTCCTTGACGCCAGAGCACAGCACAACCCCCTTTCCAGAAGCGAATAAGCCCTGAGGAGGCCCTCCCCCGCCACCCCTTCTTGGAAGGCCACAGGATGTTGCCCAGTCCTTGCTGGTGCTGTTGGGCCACATGAGGGGGTGCCTACCTTAGCAGTAACCAAGTGCTCCCCGTAATGATGGATCACATCTCCCCGCATCACCAGCTGCAGCTGCTTCTTGGACAGCAAGGGCAGGGCTGCACCCAGCAGGCGGAAACACAGGAAGCTAAGGGGGTGCAGGACAGAGCCTGGTCAGTGCTCTCAGTTCCCCTGGGGAACGTCAGGACCACCGGATCACCTCCGTTTAGCAAATGAGGAGAGGGAGCCCAGAGAGGCCAGCACCACACACACCTGGCCGGCGGGAACTGCTTTTTCAGCAGCCCCTGCTCCAGAACCTCATTCCAGAACCGTGAGAACTTGTTCTCCTGCAGCGCCAGGCGCAGCAGGCCCAGGGCCACGGCGGGCAGCTTGCGCTCCTTCTTCACAGAGGCAGCGGCTACCTTCAGCACGTCCACCAACCTGGGGAGGAGGGCAGAGGGGACTCAGGGACGCCCACCTATCAGAGGACGGCCAGGGCCACTTCCCTGGCCTCCGGGAGAGCCCATCCACCCCCCTACTGCTCACCTGGGAATATTCTCATCTGAGAATAGGTCAACCGATCCCAGTAGCTTCTCAAGCTTCGTAGGCACCTTCCGCCGGGCTAAAAGGAAGAGCTCCAAGTACTCGGGGGAGCTGAGCACCACGCCCACGTCAGCCTTGAGCACCTTCGGCAAGACCTCCTTTAACATGGCCTCCGGGAGCTGGGGGTGGGGAGACAGGTGGAGTGAGGGTGGTTCATTCACAGCCTTCCTAGTCTCTCCCTCCATGGGGTGAGCCCTATGAACCCTGTTCTACCTGCTAGGCTCCTGTGAAGGTCCCCAGCACAGTGCCAGACTGAAGTGGGACAGCCACAGTCCCCCCTGTCAGATATTTGTTAAGAAATTCAAAGTCCCAAGTCCAAGAAAGCTGGGGTATTAATAAGCACCCCACAGATGTTAATTGGCCTGGGGCCAACCCTTTCACTAATTCTTCTCTTTGGTTTTGAGAGTACCAAAAACAAACAACAAAAAAAAAAATCAACTAGCTGCTGCCAAGTTGGTTCCGACTCACGGCTACGCCACGTGTGTCAGGGTAAAACTGTGCTCCATGGAACGTCCGGTGGACGTTCAGGAGGTCACCAGGCCTTCCCTCTAAGGCACCTGCAGGTCCAGTGGAACTGCCAATCTTTTGGTTAATAACTGAGCACTTAATCCTTCGCATCACTCAGGACATCCTTCAGAGGACTAGGCTGCTTCTTATACAAAAAGCCCTAAACTGAGAGCCAATGGGACTGCTAGGATTCGAATCCAACTTCTTCTGGCTTGGAGACTGGGCTGTGCAGAAACCACAACAGCTTCCTGCCTCTTTACTCTGTCCAGAGTGGCAAGGGCTTCTCAGTGGTAGCCTGTCTCAGCTTCCCAAGTCAGGGCAGTGGAGGCCCCCAAGGGGCCAACCCTGCCCAAAATAAAAATGATGCCACACAGGTATATACTTGCCACGTGCCAGGCACTGTCTGAGAGCTGCATTATCCAGTATAGTGGCTGCTAACTATATAGTACGGTGGCCACTAATGACATGTGGCAATGAGTACTTGAAATGTGACTAATCTGAATAGAGATGTGCTGTAGTGTAAAATACACTGGATTTATAACAAAAATAATGTAAAATGCCTCAACTTTTTTTTTTCTACCTTGATTACTTATTGGAATGATAACATTTTAAGATATATCAGGTTAAATAAAATATACCATTAAAACGAATTCCATCTGTTCCTTTTGGCTTTTTAATGTAGTTATAAGAATATTTAAAATAATACCCAGGGGTTGCCTGTATGTCTGTATCAGACAGCACTGCTTAGAGTGTTCTCCGATGCTAACTGTAGTCTTCTCGACTTTTCTATAATAGGGAGTGCCACCCAAGGCCACATGGCCAGCAAGCCCATACCTCAGAGAGGATGTCCACCAGGGCCTTCTGGGGCTGTTCCTGTAAGTGGTTGCGGTGCTGGGCCAACACTTGCAGCAGCTTCACCGACTTTATCAGTGCTTCCTGATCCTGGCATCCACACAGGGGCAGAGGGTATGAGCAGGGCATGCTCCTGTCTCCCACCACTCCCAAGCCAGGCTACA